TCTCGAAACCTGCTTCATTGAAAACTTGCTTTTTTTTTTAGGAGCCTCCACTTTTCTATGCTCCTCTGATTTAATTCTTTGATGACCACTACTTTTCTGATTATAACTACAGTTAGAATTTACATACCACTCTCTATCTTTCTCAAATGGTTTCTTTAACCCCGCTCTCTGTTCTAACTTCCTCGTATCTCTTTGCAAAGGCTCATACTTGTCGCATTTCTCTGCTAAAATGGAAGCTGTTTTAAATTCTTCCCAATTGTCTAAGTAGTGCTCTCTTATTTCTAGAGGGACTCGCCGCTCAATTTGCTCAGTGAGCATAAGTTCCTTAAGACTTTCAAAATCTTGAACTTCTACTGAATCCAACCAATTCTCTAAATACACTCTCAATTCATACACTAAATCCACCCATAACATTCCGTTTTTCTAGAATGGTCTTCAAATTTTGTTTTTTAGTGCCCAAGAAACTAAGCTTGAATCTCTGCATGAGTAATTTCTTAACATGCTGATAATCATCCCCTTTATCCGCTGGTTCTTTCACTATTAACTGGGCTACATCGTGAGGTAATAAAGGAATTAATTGCGAGACCCAATCAATCTCATTAACGTTCTCTTTTTGAGCTTGTTTCTCAAATAGCATAAAGAATAATGAATATCTATATTACTCGGTTCAAAACGCGGTACTAGATCTTTCAAATTAACGTTTTTTTCTCTAGATTGTTCAACTTTCGAAACTGTGGAAGCTAGGCTATTAGTCTGAACCACATTCATCAGTTTTAACCTTTCCAATTCAAAAACTCGCTCCCGCTCCCGTTCCGCTCTCTCTTGTTCACGTTCTGCTCTCGCTTGTTCACGTTCCCGCTCTGCTCTCTCTTGTTCGGCTATTTCTTCTGCTTTTCTCTGCTCAGCCGCAGCCCAAATTCTTGCCGCGTATTCTTTCGCAGCTTCTTCTTCATAGTCCTCGGCATTTAGAATAGCCTGCCTAATTTCTCTTACTCTATTTGCCTGAGACACATTTGTTTCAAACTTCTCCGCCAAGTCCAATAGCAGAGTTTTGGTAAATTTCCTCATAAACTCACCCATTATGGAAAATTAAAGAAAAATAACCTACCCCGAAAACCAATAACACAAAAACAACAACAGGTCTATCTCTCCAAAACTGAATAATTCTCTAACAGTTCTGTACTCTAATTGCCTTACGACACTTAATGATAAACCTTGCCTACATACAAAACGTTACATAAAAACATGCTAATTAAGATTAGCATTTTCCTGCGCTAACTCAACTAAATAAATATTGTCCTCTAACCTGGACTGATTTTAAAACTAAATTTTTCTAAAGCATACCGTTACAATACTTCATAGATTTAAACGTTAAATTTCAATAGCAAATGTAACCAAAACTAACTTTCAATGTTAATTAAGAAGGCAACCTTGATCTCCAAAAACAGACTATATCCAAAATAAAGCCTAGTCTCGAATAACTGGCATAACGTCTCCAAAATCACAAAAATGGTACTCACCAATTTTCGAAAGACGCCTTCGATTGACTCTCCTGGCACTACTTGGATATCTCTTCCGGGAAATTTCACTATTTTGCGGCACTAGATCACGCTTCCTCCGGCGTTCCCTTCTGACACACTGTCACTTGTCACTGATTTGTCACTTAGAGGCTTCACTTAGACGCGTTCACGCAAATGTCCTTGCATACAAAATTACATCGTTCTTGAAGAGAAGAAAGTCTTTACTGTTCACATAAAACTCAAGTTCACAGGCGAAAACGTCCGTTCCTAAATTTACTCTCAGGAACAATCCCTAAAAGCTGCCACCAACTTTTAATATTTACTGCTGTGGTGTAGTGGCCGAAACCGCTATGCAAACCCTGGGTTGTGACATCAGGTTCAAAATAAAACACAGCATAAAAATTTTATTGAACGCAAAAAAAATGGCTACATACAATTCGACAAGAGAGAAACTTACTATCTTCAAAAATCAAATTCTATATATTTTACGTGCGAGAGCAATTCGTGGCTCTCAAGCTTGTGTTTTTAACATTGCCAACGATTTAATTATCTTAATAAAGACTATTTTAATAACTATTGAAAACGTATTTGTAAGTTAAAAAAATAATAATTTTCAGCTTATGCTTACGAGACATCCTTGTCCACATAAATCTTCAGTCTCTTCTTCTTTTATGTAACCTTATCACATATGATTTAATTGGCAATAATAAATGAAGGCGTTATCTTTGTTGTTGCGAAGCTAAGTTTCTCTAGATTGGCAACAATTCCACTAGTCTGCGTTTTCAAATGTAAACAATCAATAGCTTAGCGGCACTTAAACAACTTTAAAATTGTTGATAATTCTAAACATATTGCATGCAGATTTACTAAAGGCATAAAACCCTTAACCGAAAGATAAAAACAACATAATTCAATCATTTTTAAAGCAAAAAATGTACAATTTACAATCATATACGTGTAAAGAAACTGAGATCACTGAGCCAGGTAACAGAGTGGATATATATATAAATATATTTATATACGTTTGTTGCGGCCGATTGCAACCAAAATACGAGGTGCACATTTACATGTTATAGCAGTCCTATATACAAAATTTCAACGTTCTGAGGCTACTCGTTTTTGAGTTATGCGAGATACGTACGTACATGCGTTCGTACAGACGCCACGAAAAATTCTCTTCAGAATTAATTTGAAAGCAGTTTTATAATTTTTTTGGAGGAAACGAGTCTTTTATTCTGTTCTTTCGTATAGATATCAGGCAAACCATCGTTAAATTGCATTCGATAGCGGTCAAAATGGATATTTTCGTTGAAATATGCTGCGTGAAACTTTTCGCGATTACAATACTTCCTTTTTACTTCGTACAAGGAAGTAAAAAGGGGGAGGAATTATCAACAGTTCATCGTAATATCGGAAAAATATTTCACATATGATATTTTCAGAATAAATTCAATTTCTTAATCCCAACGACTTTCAAACAGTAAAATTTTCCGTGACGAAGTTATAAACCACTCTTCGAAAACTGTTGCAGCGTTGCTTGAAAAATTAAATATTGCAATAAGTACTTCATGTGATACCTTTAAAACACATTCCTATGAAGTCCCCTGATATTTTATCTATGGACTATAGTATCGCTGGGCTTCTGGAAAGAGCTCTTTCTAAACGCCAAGCTATTACAGCTTAATTAAGTTACAACTCAGAAAATTATTAAATAAAAATGCAAAACAATACCCTAAAAGTGAACTTTAACGAATAAGTATTTATATTTTAAAATTTCAATTAAAAGGCCTAAAAGTATATTAATTGTTTTCAAGTAATATTTTATTTGCATTTGATTTTGTGATGCCTCATACTGATACTCTAATTTTTTAACGTACTAAATTATTACAAAATTTATTTCAAGTTTAGACTGCTCCTAGGGCCTCTTAAATACAAAATTCGCCTCTGCTTTTAATTAATTATTAATTAATTGAGGTCGTTATTTTTATTTATTCTTAATTAATTGAGGTCGTTATTTTTATTTATTCTTAATTAATTGTGGTTGTGTATTTTTAATTATTCTTAGTTAATTGAGGTTTTAATTCTTAATTAATTGCGGTTGTTCAAAAACAAGATACATTTTGTTTGCCTAAGTTTTTAGAATGTTTTCGGAGATTTCATCGCTCAGTTTCGGAATCATCTGTGTAATGAAAGAAACATTTACAGATTTTGAATAAGGATATTTTGTAATTTAATTTCACATTAATCAAAAACAATTTTATTTAAAACGGAATAAACAAGATTTATAACACGTTTATTGAACCTATGATATTATAATTAGGAAAACTGTATATTATTTATAACTTTCTTAGGGATTTTCTTCTAAAGATATATGAACCTTGACTTGTAAAATTACTGCTACAGTTTAATATTCAAAAAATCCTTTTTACTTATTTTTAGGTCACTTAAACATATCAATATGTAGACGCTTTAATAAGTATGAATAAAGGTGATTATTGACACAGGTAATGCAAGTGCATGGAAGAAATTGAAGCTCTTTTCATTAGTTCAAACATTTTACTTTTTGTAGGATAAGTTTTACAATACTTCTCTATTAAGTATTCGCTTAATGTATTTTAATTTTCTACTTATAATTTCAAGTTTTTATCTATATTCCTCATAGTTGTTGAAAGATATTGCCTCCAATTTTCGCATCTGTCCTCCTTTGAAATTGCCTAAGGAATGAAAAGCACTGCTCCTATGTGTTCTTACAATACAAAGGTTAGAACAAGGAGCCCGTTTATCAATCACTATTGTGTTTGACTCTGAGAGAGCACACAGTTAATTTTTCATGTATTGCTCTTTCTCAAATTTATCTTTGTTTCCGTAGTGAAACTAGCAGCTCTAATTTTATTGTCTTTCTTAATAGGTTTATGTTATTATGAAATATTTGCGTTTATAATAGTCATTTATCCCATTACTAATAAACCTGATAACAATATATATACATATATAGGGTGTTCCAAATAACGGTATGTTAAGACCAAACCGAAAAGTATGCTAATTTAATTTCTGTTGATATTATTTAGATAAACTCTGTCTTTGCATGCCGCAATAGCCTATATGTCCCTGTTACATGTACATTAATAAAAGCAATATTTAATTGAAATTCAGTTTCGGTATATTTTATTTAGTACATTCTGTATATATATATATATATCATAATTCTTATATAATATATATGATAATAATTTAGTAATAAATGTACATTTTTATATACGGCGTTAAAATTATTTTGTTAATGATTCCATTCAATGTGAACTGTATAAAAAGAAATAATAAAAATGGTAGGTGCATGCTGATGTCTTATCTTATGGTTTTAATAAGGTTTCACCTTTAAATAACACTATTTCACCTCTCCTGGTTAGAAGTTTTCCCACCAGCGGAGATGGCGCTGCACTCCCATCGATTGGGTGTGTCCAGCTGTGAAGAAAACCCACAACTGGCAGCAACCATCCAGTTACACGAAGAAGAGAACCTGAAGAAGAAGAGCAACTCTTTGCTCGTCGTTTGAAAACGTTCCTACTGAAAAAGGTCTCCCTCAAAACTCTTAAAGATCAAAACGAATCCAAGAACTTCCAAGGTAAAAGAATACTTATTTTCTGAAACTCAAGTTTTCTGTTAGTTTTTTTTTTTTTTTTTTTAATGATTTTCTATACGCTTTATAGATTTTTTTTATTTGCCCCTTTCGCAAGTTCTACTCATCAGCTAGAAAATAAATGTATATAAATGAGTAAAGAAATAGCATCTATTAATTATCAATTAAAAGCCATATTTTAATAATAAATGGTACCTCTATCGTCTTTACAAAATGCAAAAACAGAAGATTAGCGCAATCTCAAATATCTTGCGCCATTGAAAAAGGAATAAATCAATAATTTTATTTTCTCTAGAGGTACCTGTAGTTTAGTAAATACATTTTTGTACATTTGGTGTTACAATATATTTCCTTTATTTTCATTTTATTATAAAATGCCATTCTTTTTCTGAAAATATTGTTAAACTTAATATGAATATATATATAGTTCACATAAAAATCATAAAAAAAATTCTAAAACTTTTGCAGATGCTTGAAACTTTTCTTAGAGAAAATACCGATAAATAATGAAATTTTGCGATTACCGCAGAAAGTCTATTTTCGGGTATAGTAAGGGCCTACACAGTGCCACCAGTTACTTGCCACAGGCAATCTCTATTAAGAATTAGAAAACTATATGTAGTTAAATCCATAGCCTTTTTTTTTCCTATTTTTTAATATATTTTTATTTTATTGGCATGCAACTGCTTCTCAAAATAATTTTAATTGGCAAGCTGCCAGATTCCAGAAATGGAAAGCATGCGTACAAATGTTATTTAAAATTCAGCAGCATTACTAATCACTTTTGTTATTCATATTTAAATGTATCTACAAGTAAACTGTTCGAGTATGCCTTCCATCTATACATTCATTCACAGGCTCAGCTGCAGCATTTTCGACGTCCTAAACGATTAGTACAGTTAACGTTCCTCATAAATGAAACCTATTAATATTTCAAAAGGAAATTAACCTTTATTAAGCTGTTATTGCTTGGAGGAATAATTTAAAATAATTTAACTAGATTTTCCGGAAATCGGCATTCTATGCTGTTGCCTGTGTCGCCTACGCGTGAAGCCAGTCCTATTTTCTAATATAACAAATTCAAATTTCAGAAAGCTAGGCTTTTATTTTTTTTTCTGTTAAATATTCATAATCTTCAAAATTCACTTGTAATCCGTTCACATTCTTTGTATTATAGTGTATTCAGCATTATATCTCAGCTATGTACTTAATATTTATTTATTCTATTTGGTGGTCCTGGGAAGACGCAATTAGCTTTTTCTTTTGATTTAGTACCTAGGTACTTATAGTATAGCAATCTCAGGCAAAATCTTTCTTACAGTTATGTATGCATAAAGAAATGCTTGTTTTAAGTAAAAAATTATTAATGATCATAATAAATATTTTTATGCATAAAATATATGTCAAAACTTCAATAATAACTTCCAAACATTTTCGAGCAAGATATACAAAGTATTATGCAAGCGAAATTTTTTTCTGTGGGTTTTGAAACTGTAGCGAAAATAATAACGTGAATTCCCTCCTGGCTTTTTAAGTAAATAAATAAATTAAAAAAAATTTGATCACTGAAAGAAATGCAGTAAATTTTTTAATTTAAGTAAATTTTTGGTTTTTGAGGTCTTATTATTATTATTGTTGCTGCTGTTGTTGCTGTTATTATTATTATTAAAGTGATATATGTTGCTAATAACTATAGTCTTTTGCCGTTAATTTTCTCCGCTTTTATTTGTAGTAAATTTCTTAAATCAATTTCATTTTTTAAATGAGTGCTTTATGCTCTGTATCCGAAATCGATTCGGATTTTTTTTTTTTAATTTTTACACAGTAATTCTTATCAGAAGAATAACTTTATAGATTATTAGACGAAAACTATTTTGCTAGACAACTAGCAAAGTATATGAATTTTTTTAACATTAAATTTAGGTAGAATGTGATAGAATATTTGTAACTTCTTTACTACAAAAGTAATGACAAACAAAGTGTTTTAAAGAATGATTTATTAAAATCTATTTTTAATACAGAAAACTTCTATTCTCTGAAATTCATTTCACATATAACCTCAACCCATAAACTCAATACATAATCCTCATATTTTTTTTTTACTTAATTTTCACTCGTATAATTACGTATATGTTACTTCCATACGCATTCAAAAATTATACACTAATTCAGCGCACAGTTGATCTAACTGTATCTCAGTTCTAAAAATGTAAAAGATAAAAAAAGATACCTTTGTTTAAAAAAAGCATTAAAACTTGTAAGAAAACTGAAATATTTCATTAGTCTTTTGTATATCAGATTCAATAAATTCTCTAGGATAAATAATTATAATGAAAAAGATGGCATAGTAAACACAACATTAGTTAAAAAAAATCTGAAAGCTTTCAGTTTTTATATTACGGTCAAAGGAGCGCTTTTTTAAGACATTTGATGTTGTGAACATTTAGAATAATTTGAAAATTTAATGGTGTGTAATACAAAGAATGATGGTGTGTAATACAAAGAATGATGGTGTGTAATACAAAGAATGATGGTGTGTGATACAAAGAATATTTTATGCCCCTCTTTTTTTTTTTTTCATATACTTTCCTTTCCTCCTGCTGCCACATTGTTAGTTGAAATACATTATATGAGATACATTTAATAAATTAAGATGATGTAGTTTATTTACAATCAGTTGTTCCTGTGAATAGACTTACTCATTTTTGTTGGTGTAAAAGAAAAACGGGAGGCAAAGATTCTTTAATCAGACATAGTACATCATTTGTAGACAACTTTGCACTTCCACATTGCATGCATAACTACATTTTCTTAAAAAGTGGAATTATGTTACTTTTGCATTAAACTTTCCGCATAATACATCCCGCCAGAGGCGGATAGGGCTATCGGAAATTTGAGAAATTTCCCAAGGAACCAATAGCCATTAAGTTTGGTATATCACCTGATATCAGTGGTTTTTAAAAAAAAGGATTAAACCTTAATCATAATTAGAGAATTCATGCAACAAAAAGCAATAAAATAATTGAAAGGAAAAGCTTTAATTATGCTAATAAATAAATAAATTCGAAAGATAAACTAATTGCAATCGTAGTGAACTTTTCGTCTTACCCTTGTCGTCGTTAGCCCGGCACAAGTTCAAAACTCATTTATGTATTTCTTTACAGTATAAAAGTGAGGAATTTTCATATTCCTCCCCCCCGACTATGTCATAAGAATGCCAGTACGTTAATGTAAATCGGCGGCTAACAAAAATACTACCACAGCATGTTAATGTAAATCGGACTGGCATCCTTGTGGAATTATCAGGAATGAATTCTTATGAAATGGTCGTTATGAATCCTTCTTAAAACCTTATAAAATCATTCTTATGAATTGATTCTTAGAATTTCCTATGAGAATTCTATGGCATCATGAAGAAAGTTGCATTCTTTATGGTATAAATTGAATTTCATAAGGGTGCCAGGCACATTTTTTGTATTCGCGAGCAATGGCAAGCTATCAAATGATGTCGGCACCTTTATACAAGTTGGTCATACCGGTCAAATCAGCCCCATCCGCACCTGTATCTGGCTCCATCAGAAAGCATTTATAAGCTGAAAACACTTATTTCAGTCGTATTTCAGCGGTTTCAGTTTCTCAACAGAACAGTAGCTTTGACTTAAAATAAGCGTCGAGTGCCTTAACATGATGCTTAAAAAATATAGAGGAAGCGAGTCCGAAATCAGCAAATTTTGTAATGGAAAATGCATGCCAAAAGAGAGCATTGGAGTGGTACAGGCGCTATTGAGCAGTACAGTAAAAGCATTTTGCTGGCGTAAATTGTCATTCCTCGGGTGCATTTCGGAAGTTATGCATCGCTACTAGAACGCGGAGTTTGTCGATGCGCATTTTGCCTGTAGTGCTGCTCTTGGAAACAGAGTAGCTGCTCAAAGGAGGTACTCAAGAGTTCTCCATACCTTCCCTTTGCAGCTTTTACCCCGTAGATGGCGGTGAACTCTGAATTCATATAGCATGCATACTATTTGAAATCCGCTAGGAGAATGACCACTTATTCCAGCAAAATGTTTTTGCCTACCAGTCTGTAACGCCGTGTATTACATCAATGAGTCTTTTACCTACACTTTCCATTATAAAATCTTGTTTTCGGTTTCCTGTATCTGCTTTTAATAATTTTTCAAATATTTTTAATCGCGATGTATAATAAGAGGACATTTTTGGGGGGTCCCTAATGCTGTGCCTGATCCGTTTTCAACAATGAGATAAATTTCCCTATAATTATGATAAGTAGTTTGCTTTAAAATAGTTTATTTTGTTATCGGAGTTTTCTTATGCATATAATTTTGAAATTCTTCCTATAAGAAAATGAAGCTCATACCAATTCAATACATTACAAATGCTGGAAAGCACACAGTAGATTCAGAAAAGTTCGAACTATGTATTTTCTCTGATTTTTTCTTCTCTTTTCTTTCTTTTTTCTTTTTTTTTTTTTTTTTAAATATTAAAAGATAAAGGATTTAAAAACAGTTCTGTTTCTGATAAGGGAAAAAAACGCAAAATAAATTGGTTTTATATTGTATATTTGTTAAGGCAAATAAGTGAATGTTAGGTACTTAGATCTTAAGCAATGAGGTCATCGTAATCAATCATCAAATCGGTATCTTCGTATTTAGGAAGTTTGGTTGTACTAACTATGATCCTAGTGACTTAGCTATGGATAGTTAAGATTAGGCAATGCCTATGGACCCATGTGTTTTACGGGCTTATTACTATTTGATTTTTGAATATTGTTAATTCCGTTGCTGCGTAATGATAATTCTGCAGTATAGTAATATTGGCGTTAAATGCTCATGCGCAATCTAACCAAAACTACACTATTTTGTTTGTGATAGTCATTTTGTATTGTTTCTCCTTTTTTTTTTTTTTTTTTTTTTTTTTGTGCGTTTGTGTGTGTGTGTGTGTGTGTGTGTGTGTTTGATCGCAAGAAG